GGGTGTTTGAGTGCAGGAGGGGCACTGTCAGGCCAGAAGACAGGAGAGGCCAAACCAGGCAGGATATACAGACACCTCCCGGGGCTCTGGCCCTCCACTAGGAGGAGTGGAGAGGCTCAGGGTGGGTAGTGAGGTGTCAGCACTGCAGGTTTAGGGCAGAAAAGAGAGGCACAGAGTAGGGGGGCTAAGAGCTGGGCTCCTACAGACTCACCGAGGGTGCTGGAGGAGAGTGCACAGGTGAGGAAGGGGCATTTCAGAAAGAGTCTCCTGCAAGGTGGGGCAGGGGCAGGGCAGAGGGGCAGGGCCCAGGGGCTCAGCTCAGTGCCAGGGGCTCAATTCAGCACCCAGATGTTCAGCTCAGTGCCGGGGCTCAATTCAGCACCCAGGGGTTCAGCTCGGTGCCGGGGCTCAATTCAGCACCCAGGGGCTCAAGTCAGCATGGGGGCCACTGTGTGGGAAAAAGCCTGTCTGGAGAGAGATGGATGGGGTCCTGGCGTAAGGCCACAGGGGGCAATGGAAGGCCAAGGGAGGGCTGGCCCCTGACTCACCACCTCGCAGCAAGGAGCAGAGCACCTGTGAGGCCATCCCACCTGTGTGGGTGACTCAGGGCCACTCTTTCTTTTCATGCCCAGGGAGCCCCCGTGTAGGTAAGATTGTCATGGCCGCTGCCGCCAAGCACCTGACCCCTGTCACCCTGGAGCTGGGGGGCAAGAACCCCTGCTACGTGGATGACGACTGTGACCCTCAAATTGTGGCCAACCGTGTGGCCTTCTTCCGCTACTTCAACACTGGCCAGACCTGCGTGGCCCCCGATTATGTCCTGTGCAGCCCTGAAATGCAGGAGCGGCTGCTGCCCGCCCTGCAGAGCGCCATCACCCGTTTCTTTGGTGACGACCCACAGAGCTCCCCAAACCTGGGCCGCATCATCAGCCAAAAACAATTCCAGAGGCTCCAGGGATTGCTGGGCTGTGGCCGTGTGGCCGTCGGTGGCCAGAGCGACGAGAGTGACCGCTACATTGGTGAGTCCCTCCCCATGTCCAGCCTCTTGGTTAAGATCCTCCACTCTGGCGGGGCCACGACTCTGGGCCCCCACCAGATCCCTCAAGCCCCCAGGCTCCAGGGGCCCCACTGCCTCTGCCTGGCCTCAGCCCATAGCTCCTAGAGCCCCGATTCAGTGACACCAACACCCTAGACCACTGAGGTTCTGAACCCGTGACTCCACCATTCCAAACTCTGGTCCCACACTAGGTCCTCTAAGCTTGCACCCAACTCCTAGGGGTCAGAGCACTAAGGTCCTAAATGTCTGTCCCACCGCCTGCCATTCCACGAGGCCACAAGCCAGACTATGAACCCACGAGCCCTAAGTTCTAACCTGACGGCTCTATCCTGAGCCCCAGTCCCCAGGCCCATGTGGTTCAACAGCTCATGGTGACACTGGGACCTCAGGCTACGCTGTTGTCAGATTCCCTCAACTCCATGAAACCAAGGGTGGGGGTTCTCTGGGCCTCACAGCCCTTATGGTCTCTTTTGGGGACCTGGGAGAACTTCCTTCCCTACAACAACCAAAGCCTGGACTCCCCGGCCTGAAGCCCAGGTCCTTGGCCAGCCCGAGCGCCCCGTCCCCTGGGGTGTCCTGGCCTCGGCACTGGCTGAGCCGTCCCCCTGCACGGCAGCCCCCACGGTGCTGGTGGATGTGCGGGAGACGGAGCCCGTGATGCAGGAGGAGATCTTCGGGCCCATCCTGCCCATCGTGAACGTCAGGGGCCTGGACGAGGCCGTGGACTTCATCAACCGGCGGGAGAAGCCCCTGGCCCTGTACGCCTTCTCCAACAGCAACCAGGTGGGGCTGGGCGGGGCTGGGCAGTGAGGCAACAGGGACTTCAGGGTGGGGCCCCCTGGGCTCTGACGTCCCCCAGTCTGGGACACACTCTCCTGGGCCTTCAGCGGGTGGGGCCTCGGGGCGTCAT